CCTGGCTCTCCAGGGACCTAGCAGACCTCCTGAGGCTAAAAAGAAAGGCCTACAAAGGATGGAGGATGGGAGTCACCTCCAAGGAGGATTATTCTGCACCGGTCTGGTCCTGCAGGGAGAAAACCAGGAAAGCCAAGGCTGCAACTGAACTCCAACTAGCTTTGAGCATCAAGGACAATAAAAAGTCCTTTTTCAGATATGTGGGGAGACGGAGGAAAAGCAAGGGCAACATTGGACCCCTGCTGAACCAGATGGGGCAACTCACAACTGACACCCAGGAAAAAGCCAACCTATTAAATGGGTACTTTGCGTCAGTCTATCATCAGTCCCATGGGACACCCATGCCAGCTATGGGACAGGGAGGTCCGGGTGATCCCCTGCCCTCCGTTAATGCTGACCTCGTGAAGGAAAACTATTCCAAATGCGCATTAAATGAAAACACACAGGAAGGTAAAAGGAAATCTTCCTAAAGATCCGAAAGGTAACAAAAAAAGTTACAAGCAGCAAACAACATGACTGGGGTAAATTCCACTGGGCAGACTTCAGGTTTCTCAGCATGAAAAAAACAGCCTCTGCTGCCCATCCATTCTGTCAGAATGGCATCAGGATCAGGTACAATATTGTTAGCTTGTGCGAGGTTCACTGAAGGCTAGGACTGATTCTGAGGTAAATGTGTTCTGATATGATTCCCAAGTTGACAATTACTATATGAAATGAAGAGGAAACTGCACATCGTTTTAGTAATGATGCATTTGGATGATTCTAAAAGGCAAAATGATGCATCTGATGTGTGCCCAGTCCCCTAGAGCACTTCCTATTGGTAATCTACAACCACATGAAACTCTACACAAGTTCACAGAGAGAGCAGAGCCACTTGCAAGCCTTCACCAGTACATACAAGATAAAGGAGCAGGATCCTGAAGCATACAACACTTAGAGTGAATACACATATAAAGACATCTGGAGGCTCTCCCGAATCTAAAGTTAAATCTGGAGAAGCTTCATTAGAGTGTCTATGTTTGGATCTTAATAGAAGGGAGTAAAAACTAGATGCTAGTTACATATCTGTTAGTGGAACAGAAACTAAAGTTTGAGAGTTAGGAAAAGTGACAGATCAATTGGGAAAGCTTAGAGAAAAAGCAAAGAAAATTACTACTCTCCAGCTTCAAACTGAAATGCTAATTAGAGGCAATACACAGTGAAGATGGATAGAGGAATTAAAGAATGTACATAAGTATTATAATTTAAGGTTAGTAAATTTCCTAAGAGTTGGAAGGAGTGAGGCTACTATTAGAGAGGACCTCTCAAACTGCTTAAACAATATTTGATGAAAAGTATTTGACATTTCTAAAGATGGTATTTCTTCCATTGTATAAGTTTTTTTACTGCACATGTGGCTTGTTGTACAACTGAATAACTTTGATGAGGAGGTACTGGACAGGTTTTACCACTGCATATTACTGAAAACTGCATAAAGAGACAATGTTTAAAAAAAATTAAGGGAGAATTGATCCCAGAGGTGTTGGGCTGATCACATTTACCCAAACACTTATTTGGGATCCACTAATGTAGCAAAGGAGGGAATTTAGGCATGTGGCCAACTACTGGAATCAGATAAAGTATGGATCATTTTATAGATTTTCTTAGAACATAAACAAAATTATAGCTACCCATCAGAAGCTTTACCTGAAATGTCTGAAAAATTATGAGACTGCAGAAACTGTGTATAAATATAAAGAATGTGTACTGAGGCAACAGGAAGTTTACTAACATTTTAACAGACAAATGTTACATGGTTTAGCCATTATTTTTAATCATTTTTTTACTAAATCAGTTATAGGAGAAACTGTGACTGGAATTCAAAGCCTATAGTAAGGACACTGGAAAGGTAAAACCCTAACAGAGCTTACCCCATACCTTGATACAGGAATAAGGGAAGCAACTTTATTGGATGAAGTCGCCCACTGAAGGGAGGGAAAAAGGGGTTGTGAACCAATCTTCTCTGCACTTCTCTTCCCCCTAAGGGAGCAGATAATTAAGCATAGAAACTACATGTCTCCCCAGCCTTTATGAAGGTCAAGCAAAAAAAAAAAAATAATGGAAGAATGGGGAGTTTCTTTCACCATCACTGCAGACCTGCACAAGCAGCGGTCAGAATTTGGCCCCAAGTAAAAAGCAGCTGAAAATGAATTAATGGATATTATATCTGTCACTTAACATTTTGGTCCCTCTAAGATACAGAAAATAAACTGCAAAGCCTTGACCCCTTGATATCATTATATGACATAAGGGAAAGAAGGGAAAGCTACTTTTTTAGTTAAATTATTTAACTAATACAAAGATTGTGATAAAATTCATATCATGATAAAATTCAATCATTTACAAAAATATGAAAAAACAATTTGTGAGATGTGACAAGTTATGTTTTTTCATATCTTTGAAAATGATACCCAACTTGGATTACGATTCTGTTGTGTTATCACAGCTAGAGGGGAAACCTGACCAATGAAAGGTTGGATTGAGTTTTTTTTAAATGTAAAGCTGTAACATCTTGATAGTTCAGCTACTAAACAATCATTTCCAATCCAAAGTTATTCCTTGTTGTTGACTAGCTTTTTTTCTCCATGACTTGAAACAGTATTCAAATTGCCAGTGTTGCTATTTCTGACATGTATGTGTAGTTTAATCACCTTACTAGTGCAATTTAACAAACTGTCACCAAAGCATGAAAAATAAGAGGAAATTTCAGTGGCCAAGAGGGAAAAATATCAAAGCACAGTGGCTAGTCACTTACTGTGAAGTGGCACTTAACTGTGACCTCTTGCAAGGTCTTTAGGTCAAGTGTAACAAAGAGCAAAGCACTGAAAGCTCACTTCTGAGTGCTGTGAAAAAGCTCATTCCTGCAAAGACTGTGTACATAGGCTAACTCAGGTGATTAGACCTATTAACTTCGGCAGGGAATACCCGGACATGTAAAGTTACTCCTGTGTGCAAGTCTTTTCAGAACCAGGCCATTACTTTAGAGGGAGGTTTACATTTTGTTTTTTCAAATAACACTCCTCTAAATCTGAACAGTTGTTTTTCTTACCTGAAGTCTAGTGTTCATTTCCAAGAAGTAAAAATTCTTCTTGGAATCCACAAGGAATTCTACTGTTCCAGCAGAGGAATATTTTACTGCTTTGGCAAGAGCTACTGCTTGTTCTCCCATTGCTCTTCGAGTTTCAGGATCCAGAAAAGTGCTGCAAGTGCAAAAAGAGTACCTTTCTTTAGTTAAAAAACGTAATTGAACAGTTTTATCCTTTGCTTAAGTAACCTATAAAATAAAGCAAAAAAGATGATGATACCACACAATCCAGTCAACACTGCCATATAATAGCTGTATCAGAGAATAAACAAGAGTACACCAGAACTATTTCAGAAGCATTGGATGCTGGCTGCAGCCAAGGTTGGGGGTTTTGACTGGGGTGTACCAGTGCTCCTGCTGAGCCTGAAAGCTGGAGGTTCCTGCTTAGGTCTCGTCTCTCTGGTCAGACTCAGATGGATCATCACATTTGGGATTAAGAAGGAATTTTACCCAGTAGTCAGCTTGGTATGGACTTTCCTCTGCAGCAAAGGACTTTCCTCTGAGCCCTCTTCCTTAGGTGTCACTGACACACTTTAACAATCCTTGCAGCAACAGGCCATCAGTCATCAATGTCTCCCTGCTTTACCTATGGCAGGTTAGGGTGCTATCCCTTGTAACAGGGTTGATTGTGTACTTTTACTAATAGGTTAGACAAGGATTTGTATGGGATGGTTTGAACAGAAATAATCCTACCTCCAGCAGGGGTTCGTCCTAGATGACATTCAGTGGTCCCCTCCAGTCCTACTTTCCTATGATTCCATTATTCTAACCCTAGATGAACCTTATTTCATTCTAGGTTCCTTTTAAGAAATAAGGCTTAAGTGCAGCATGCAGTAGTCTTGGTAATCACTGCTACTGTGCTCTAAAATGTTTTAAAGATATAAAAGAAAACAATGCACATCTGTACAACATTAAAATCCATGAAATGTGACCTAAAATATTTAATGATTAATTTAAAGGCACATTTAATTAATAAAATCCATCATCAAAAAAATTCTGGGCAATGCTGAAGTTTGTAGACAACAACCATACTATTGAAAAATGAATGCCTGTATCAGTTATTCTCCACCTTTTTGGACGAGGTGCCCCCTCCATAACTTTTGTGAATTGAGTGGCACCCAGTTTTAAAAACTAATGTATATATTGCAGTGCTTGCTTCCTTGTAGAGGGGCTGGGCAGCAGGGGTAGAAGATCAGCCAGGCAGGGACACGCCTGAGCCTGACCTTTTCTGATCATCTCCTCAAACCTCATGGAACCCTTTAAAGGATCTGGTGGCATCCCAGAGTGCCACAGCCCCCTGGTTGAGCCTAGATCAAGGAAAAAATATGTCACCCTAAGCTTGTGGTTGCCTTGTTTTCTGCATCTGTTTAAAATATGATGTGGCTGTTATAGAGCAATGTGCTCCGTAAGGCAAGTAATGATAAACTAGGAATGTTCATAAGGTCCGAATGAGATAATCTGACCTGTGGTTTGTTTTTGTTTTAATTTGGGTTTCTTACATAGGTAAGATTGTTATGAAAGAAAACTACGGCATTCATAAGACTGAACCCAATAATCAAAAACACTAACAGTTTGCAGATTAAACCTCCAAAATTTCCCATCACAAATTTACCCAGTAGTTGCAATCTTATGTTCTCCGTTTTTCTGATTGTGATTCCGTCCATTTCACACAGTATGGCTACCATTCAGTGGTGTTCCTCTGCCCCAGTGTGCAACTCAGCTATTCCCTCAGGAACCAATGCAGTGACTGCTCCCAATCACCAAGCTTCCTCACCCCCAAAGACAAAATGCATGACTTTCAATTGGCCAGTAAACTACAAACTCAAGAAAAATATACATACTGATGATTCCTTCTCACTAGGATACACGTTCAGAATTAGATTAACCTATACAGGTAGTTACCTGAGTGGTAGGGAAACTTTTGGCTTTTATCACAGTTAGAGAAAGTTTTTTACTAAGAGATTCTAGACCTGGAACACAGATTTATAATGAAAAAAAAACTTATATATGTCAAACTGTTCCCTATTAGAAACACAGTTACACTAAGCAAAGGTACTTATTGCATCAGTATTTCAACTTAGCTTGCCTATACATGTGGAAGAATCCTCCCAGGTTTGTTTTCCTGGTAGAAAAACTTACTTGGAGGCCCTAGACAGACATTCAAATGCTGATCCCTTAAGCAGCACAGAGCTTGCAGTGCTGACACTGCACAGACAGGGGGCCCTCGTACACACTTCTCAATGTGCTGTCTAGGCTCCCTCAGTCAGCCTGGAGACAGATGGCAGTAGTGCATAAGACAGCCCTAATTGGCCTGTAGACACTCTGGGGGAAAAAATGAAGTCTGATTCAGGAAAGGTGTCAATGGATTCCATGCCAGTCTCTGGTCTCACACATCTGAAGAGATCACTAAGATCAAAAGGAATGGGAAAAGCAGGAAAATCTCACATAGGCATTGTAATGTAGAAAGATGGGCTTGTTACTCTGATTCAGTAAGACAAGGCTTTCCAACTTCTGAGCAGCTGAGGACCACATGCAGCACAGGCCACAGACCTGGGGAACACATCCTCCAGGGGCTGCCGCCCTGCCACATGGGCAACCCAGCCCCCACACCAGCTCCCTCCACATGCACACCAGCTCTCTCTCCATGTGCACACAGCCCAGCTTCAACCTCCCTGCATGCGTTGCCCAGCTCCCCCCACCACATGCACAACCCAGCTCCCCACCACACATGAAGCCCATAGCCCAGCTCCCCACCCCAACACAGGCAGCCTGGGCCCCTCACAGCTGCACCACAAGTGGGGACAGGAACCAGAAGACAAACAAGAAAGGTCGAGCCCAGAGATCCCAGCCACTGCCACCAAAAGAGCAATGGGAGAAGTGGCAGTTGAACAGGAACTCTTAACCCTTTGAATGCTGCATGTGGTACATGGGCTGCCAATTGGACAACCTTGCAGTAAGAGAATGCAGAGGAAAAAGTTAAAAGCCTGTAATTTAATCAAGGAACATCAATTTATATCACCTGTTATGCAAACACGTTTTGAGTAATAACAGACCAGCTGATTTCCAATACTGAATGATCACCTTGGTCTCTATTTCAAAAACAAGCATTATTATTTCTCATACAGACAAAAAGACAGCTACTACCCTTCTACTACAGTGATGTCTTCCTATGTTTGCTAATGTATATCTAAGGTCTCTCTATTCACATCCTGCCATAGCTGAAGAATAGAAAAGAAGTGTCATACTGTTAAACTTGATCTCTGCCATGTGGCTAAGCTTTATACTCTAAAATGACTATATAATCTCTGCAATCAACTAGGTTAATTAACTGAGGTTTACCTACTCCTGTCTGCTTCTCTGCCTTTCATATACATTCACTTCCCCTTAAACCACTCACCATTTCCTTCCCTATTGCTCCCTGAACAACCCCTTCCCCAACCTAATTACACACCACCTGAAAACAACATTTTAAACCTGACTTCAACTCCCTCCCCACCTCATATACCTGTTACACTCCCAACCAAACAGTTCCTCCAGCAGCAAAAGCTGCAAAATAAAAGGGTTTCCCATGATAAAAGCATCAAGAGAAAAAGAGATCAGACGCGACATTTCAGTCAGAAGGCTTTCTTGTAGCTACTGCAAACCTGATCAAAGACAATACAACAGACTTTTTCTACTGTTTGTACAGCCTGAGAGATGTCTTCATGGGCAATATGTTACCTCCCACTTAAGGATCAGTTTTTGACCAGTAAAAAAAATACTGGTGAAATGACCAGACAAATATTGTCAAATAATGGTCAATTATATTAAGCAACAATTTATTTGAATGGTAAAGAGAGAATTTATTTGTCAATAGGTTAGATTTAAAATAAAAAAACAAGTTAGTTAACTATTATTGTGAAGCAATGAAATTCAATTCCAAAAAAATGTAATGAATTCTCATAACTAATAACATTAGGTACAGGAATGATATTCAATATGAAACAGTTTGTTTTCTTCTTGTTCGCTAGGGTTGCCAAACCAAGAAAAACATTTTTACTGACAATCTGCAAGCTTTTTACTGGCAACCAAATTTTTACAGACATATTTATACTGATATATGTTTTACATAATGTAAATGGAACTCTTTTCCCAGATCCTACCCTGCTGTTAGGCCCCAGTTAGAAACACTGGCTTCAAATTTAGCAGTTTAACAGTGATCATAGTAAAAAAAGTTTTTAAAAAAAGCATGGCTGTCAAGTAAAAAGTTTGAAGTAAATTCTTGGGTTCCCAACCTGTTTGACTGTAGTAATGATTTTACACCACACTGCCTCACCCAGGGGCCCATACTTACCCCCATACCCTGACACCTTCAAATGCACTCTGCACCATGCTGCCCACCCCCAACCTTATTTACTCAGCAAGCCCTGCTCCCCCTGTCCCAGCACAGACCCTCCCCCTCCCCACTACAAATCAGCAGTGTTATAGGCAGTGAACAAGATGCAACAGTAGCAGCACATGGTTGGGAGGGACGGGGTCTGAAGCCCTAAGACCTCCCTGTAGTGCTGCACTCTCACTTGGACACCAGGTGATGCTACTATGCTATGTGTGTACTTCACCACTGCATCCAGCTGCTTTCCAACCATGCAGCTTCAATCAGCTCCAGCAGCTTAGAGCTTTTACTGACAATTCAAGTATTTTATGGATTTTACAGGCAGGCATTTTTACTCTGATTTTTTTTACCAACAGGCAACCCTGTCCTTGGCTTTTATCCTGGAACCTCAGGGCCAGCCCAAGCAGTTAAAAAAGGAAATTAAACATAAATAAAATACATACAGCTATAAAACTATAGCAATAACTAAAAAAGACAAATATCAGTTTTTAAATGTTCCTAAATGGAATGTGTGCAGGTAGCTCTGATTTGCACAAGCCTGGCGAGCAAGAAGCCCTGCACTTGCTAACAGACAACACCATAATCCAATAGAAAAGGTAGGCTGCCATCTACACAAAGGTATTCTTGGCTTCATGGAATATTTGACAATATTTAATTATGGTCAAATAATAGATGGTCAGTTAACTAGCTTGCCAACTTTACTCATCTTCTCTTTATTCGTACCATTTTGAAACAAAACGTTTCCTAAAATACCTTCGACCCAGTTCACACAGGCTGAATATTTTTTCAAAGTAAATAACACTTTTCCATTTTTTAAATATATATTTACTCCTCATAGAATCATAGAATCAATGAGTTGGAAGGGACTTAGACAGATCATCTAGTCCGACCCCCTGCCATGGGCAGGAAGGAGCACTGGGGGTGGCAGGGGTCATAAGACCCCAGCCAGGTGCCTATCCAGTCTCCTCTTGAAGATTTCCAGGGAAGGTGAGAGCACCACCTCTCTGGGAAGCCTATTCCAGGCTCTGGCCACCCTTACAGTGAAGTAGTTCTTCCTAATATCTAACCTAAACCTATCCTCCCTCAGCTTGTGGCCATTGTTCCTAGTGACTCCAAGGGGGGCCCTGGTGAACAGACTTTCCCTGAGTCCCTGTTGGTGGCCCCTGATAAGGTTGTAGGCAACCACAAGATCCCTCCTCAGTCTCCTCTTGCGGAGACTGAAGAGATTCAGGTCCCTTAGCCTCTCCTCATAGGGCTGGCCAGGGAGGCCCTCAACCATACGAGTGCCCCTCCTCTGGACCCTCAACTTAGAATAAAATATAATTGGAAATTCACCCACAGTACTGGATTTCACCTCCTATTGGATGATACCATGTAATATGAAAATTACAATAGCCCCAATTTTTTTCAAATTTCAAGTACAGTTTACTTAAATTTATAAAATCAGCTTCCTGGTATGACAGGGAGCCATCTCAAGGTCAGTCCAATTGTAGGCCCACCCACTTGTCTAGGGCAGTCTGCCCACCTGACTCACCTGCCATGCCTTTGTTGGAACAAAAAGTTGTTCATAGGCAGAAGGCTGCCCATTTATTACCCGGTGCCAAATAAAAAAACCTACCCTTGAGTTATAAGCACAACTTCTAACTATAACCAGCATTAACCTTCTAAAAATCAAATTTTAACTCTGATAACTTGCATTCTGTCCAAATGCATGCCAAATGTTAGGGCATTTATATATGCCCTAAATGTTCAGGCTATGTTCTTCTGCACTAATAAGCAACTATACATTAAACACTAAACATAACTGCACTTTGGCAAACAGTAATAAGCAATGGATATTTAAAAGCAGTTTGAATTTATACCACCCAAGCTTTTCAACCATATAGATTTTCTGAAGCAAACACTGGTAAGTAGTATATACTGCTTTTAAAATAATTGCTGCAAAATACAGATATGCCTCAGCTCCAGGTGTAATCAGTGATGTTAAGGATATATTGGACATGTATTATACAAGGTCCTACTTCACACAAGCAAGGACAGTAGAATCTGGCCTCCAATTAGCTAACATGACACCATCAAATATTTTTAGGAACAGTAAGCATAAATCTTTAAGATTTCCTTTAGCTTCTGAACTCAATGGTAGAAACCTACAAAGAAGAAAACAACATGTACCTGTATATTAAATGAATCAGCTGTGTTTAAAATACTATCAGTATCCATATTATATATTTTATACAAGATTATGAATTTAAATTAAAATGGCCTGATCATCAGTTTTCTTGATATGGAACAAAAAATCATTCAATTAAAATAGAATAATCTCAAGTACTATATCACAAGTGCATTACGGGAACTTAAACAAAGGGCTGTGGAGATGGAGACGGAAGCCCAGCAGAGACTCTGTTGATGGAAATATCTCCACATGGGTGAGCTAGAACCTCCCCCTACAGGAACTGCTTCTGCCCTTGGTGGCAGCCCCACAGGTGGTGACCGAGAGGTACTGGGCACTTCATAAACCTGAACAATTTTAACTCTTGGATTTGATCTGTCTTTTATTATGTAGCTGATTTATGTATCCTTCATTTACAGTATTGTTTATTTTATTGTGCAGTAACTGCTCCTTTCAAAAATACCTATTCATTAGTTGGTCTCTTAAGATCCAGTGTATTTAAGTCTGGGTCTGGATAATAGGTTTAATAACTGATACTGATTTGGGAAATAGGCCTAACCACTGTAAATATGATCCTTTGTCCACCCATAATGGAAGTATCCCTTGTTTCTATGTGCTTGTTGTCAGTAAACAGAGATCCTTACACACAGTTGAAAATTTTAAAAGTTTCATAGTTTCTAGGGTCGGAAGGGACCTGAGCAGATCATCTAGTCCGACCCCCTGCCATGGCAGGAAAGAGTACTGGGATCAAACAACCCCAGCAAGGTGTTCATCTAACCTCCTCTTAAAAACCCCAGGGTAGGAGCCTGCACCACTTCTCTTGGAAGTTGGTTCCAGACCCTAGCCGCCCTGACCGTGAAGTAGCGCCTCCTGATATCTAACCTAAACCTACCCTCTGCCAGCTTGTGACTGTTATTCCTGGTCACTCCTGGC